TTTAGGCCTTTGGATGCTTTTAATGCTTTCTATTTCTGACATGTCAAACCGATGTTAACCCCGGTGTTGCCTCTTTCTTTGTCACACTTTCTGTGCTATAGAACATGGCCTCTTGGGAGTCTCCATGGTCCCTTGTTGAAATTAGCATTACTGGTTTGAAAAATGCCTCTTACTGTATAACCTCGGATCAGTGGGGACGTGGAAGAAATTAAGTGCAAATTAACAAAACTGGCCACAGAGAGCAAGAAATAAACACAAGGCCTGAAGATAGTAGATTGGGGTGGGGGTGGGGAGTGGGTTAGTAAAGCAGTGAGAAAACACTATTAGACAAATTTGTACTTGATTTATCCAAATTTGTGTTAATCTTAGTTAATGCAGCTTTAAAAAATTATAAAAATAATCAGTTATTAAAATAGCTTCTGATTAGTTTTCTGTTTTTGACTAATTGTTGCAGCTTTAAGATAGTTGCAAATGTCTGACTAATCACTTAATCAACTAATTGTTTCAGTTCTAGTCACAATAATGGCAAAATTGACTCCCACTGCTAAATGCCCACAACCTCTTCAACAACTTCATAGTTTAGTCACAGTAGCAAAACATGAATGCACTTCCTTTATGTCAAAATTGCAAAAATAATATACAGATACACATACTGAAACACACTAAAGCACAACATTTGAAAGAAATATGACTTTGGGCCTAAATAGTTTGTTGTAATATTTATATGGTAATAAGGTGGCAAGAGTCACACAAGAGCTGTTTTTCTCTAATGCAACTGCAGTAAAGCACAGCTGTTATGGTTCTTGCTGGAAGTGCACTTTCATTAAACTAGATCAGAATTTATTATGCATTAGTGGTGAGCATTTTGAAGTTGGAGCCAGCTCTGCTGAGTGAAACATCAGTTTTATTGGCCCAGACACCAGGCATTGGAGTTCTGATTGCACCCACATTACACAAGCTGTCTGTTGATAGGCTGCCTAATTGTGTTTTTTCTTCAGCATAAACAGCTGTCACTCTTAATGAAATGACAGTGCCATCTCACTCAACCTGTCCTCGTGCCGTCCCTGTGCTCACTTCTCTTTGCCCTAATCCTCCCATTTCCCTTCTTCCTTAGTGTCTCTCTCATCTCTCTCTTGAATCTGTAAAGACAAGTAATGCACTGCTTCCCTGCGCTGATTGGATGATGTATGATGCTATTAGGTGAGATGAAAGTGTACGTAGCTTAAATGATATAAAATGAAAAAGGGTTTAAAAAATGAAGTGCAAGAGTGGAGATAGTGAAATGTTTTGATAAGCAGTTTTGAAAGAGAGAGAGAGTGGGGACAGCTACAGATGTATGCATGTAAAAATGGGAGCAGGCCACAGTTTTGCTCGTGTTTCAACCCTGGCACACTCCCTTTGGGAAGTAGTCCTCAGATCTCATCTGAATTCCAGGCCCTCGGCACCACCACTCAGCCGTTCAGCCAATGTTGCCCAACGGCAACATGAGGTACTGCAGCGAAAAATCCTCATGCGGTCCAAAAAGCATTTTCTCCATAGACCACAATGACAAAAGAGAAGTCTGTACAACTGTTGACAGGACACTTCAAACTGTAAACAAAGTCAGTTA